ATAAGAAATTTAGGTTATTTTTAAGTTATTTTTAGGAATCAAATTTAAAGATTAAACCATATAAAATTTTATAAAATATAAATTCCAATTTATTTTAAGTCTATGACAGACAACGAATTAGACGATTTAAGTAATTTATTTTTAAATTCATTAAGAGTAAACGATACAAACGAAACAATGACTACCCGAACAGTAGATTCAGTTAGCTTAAATATGCTCAAAATGTTTGTCGACACTATCCCTCGTTTTGATGGTGATGGCAACAATTTAAATAATTTTATTTCTGCCGGACAATTTTTGTTCGACACATACGGCGATACCAAAGACGCCAATTTAAAAAAATATTTAATTCGCGCAATCCAAACTAAATTAATTGATAGAGCACAAATTTTAGTTGGCTCTCGTTCCGAACTTAATACTTGGAAAGACATTAAAAACGCTTTACAAACTTGTTTTGGTGACAATCGTAATATAGAATGCTTAGAACAGGACTTGTTTATGGCAAGACCCTTTAAAAATGAATCCCCCCTTGACTTTGGTAAAAGATTACAAGTTTTAAGAAGTAATCTCGTTAGTTTACAAAATATTTACGCAACTTCAAAGAAAATTTATATAGAAAATTATGACAAACTCACTTTAAGAACATATATTCGTGGGCTATCACCCCAAATTCAATGTATTATTAGACTTAAAAACCCCACTTCTCTAGAAGAAGCATTAACATACATAACTGAGGAAGAAAACTTCCAATATAATCAAAATCTATTTAAAGCCCCTCCGACACATAACGTAAGACCGACATTTTCTCATAACCTAAATATCATTATAATAATCCTAATAATTATAAATCCAATCAAAATTATCATCAAGCTAACCATTTCCCAAGAAACTTTCCAGCATTACAAGCCCCTAATTCTTCAGGATTCCCCAGCCAACCAATTTCTATTCAACCACGTCAAGTACCCCAAAAATTCTTTACCAATAACCAAGTCTTTGGTCCCCCAAAAGATGTTTTTAAACCAACCGGTGTAACTCCAAATTATAAACCCGAACCAATGTCCACTAGAACCTCATATACCTTACCTACCTCAAAGAGAACTAACTTTTCCCAAAATAATTTTAAATATAGAAGAAAATTCTCCCCAAATAACTGAAATCCCTGAAGATACATTTGACTTCTACTCACAACATAACACAAACGAAATTTATACAGAACAAGAATCTTACTATCAAAATAATTACGACATATCAGAAAATTCCGAATGTAACTTAGCAGATCCAGATAACACTCAAAATTTTCAGACGGACCATTCGAAAACCAATCTTACATAGTTTCCGAAATGCACACTGAAATTAACAATAGTTTACCGTACATTAAAATACAAAATCCCCCAATGAAATTACTAATCGATACAGGCTGTTATAATTCTATCCATAAACCGTCGTTAGCTCAAAAATATTTTCCTCAAACAATTTACCATTCACCCTCTCAAATAAAAACTGGTGTAGGTGAAAAAGAAGTTAGATTTAAAGCTGACATTCCCGCTATGCCAGAACTTTGCAGTAACAATAACATAACATTTATTCTTTTCGACTTTCACAATTTCTTCGACGGTATTATCGGACTTAAAGAATTAATAAATCTAAAATTGTAAATTGACTTAATTAACAAACAACTAATAAATCACCGAACACGAATCCCAATATTTTATAGAAACCCAAAATTAGAAAGATATAAAATAAGTCTTAACGCCCTAGAAGTAGCCTCGGTAAAAATTCCAGTTTCCACCCCTAATGACGACATAATTATTCCCGAACAAAATATTGACGATTTATACATTCCCGAAACATTAACAACAGCAAAAGAGAAATTTTTAATCATTCACGTAAATCAGTAGAAATTTTTATTTCTGAACCAATAAAATCAATTCCCTTTAACGATTTGCAAAAACAAAATTTTGAATTTTATCATTTTGAAGACTTTTTACCTAAACATAAATTAGAAAAGAATCCCGACATACGAGACTTGATAAGACACGAACATTTAAATAGCGAAGAAAGACGATACCTTCTTAATCTTTGCAGAGATGACGAGAAACTTTCCTTTACTAACAAAGTTAAACATGAAATTAAAACTAGCGACGAAATACCAATACACGCAAAATCTTTATTCATAAAGAGGAGGTAGAACGACAAATTAATAAAATGCTCGATGACGGAATCATTAGACCAACTCAAAGCCCTTGGAGCAGTCCAATTTGGATAGTTCCAAAAAAGATCGATAGTAGCGGCAAACAAAAGTGGAGGTTAGTTGTCGACTATCGCAAAGTAAATGAAAAGACAATTGACGACCGATACCCTCTTCCCAATATTAACGATATTCTCGATAAGTTTGGTAGATGCCAGTATTTTTCTACGCTGGATCTAGCTTCTGGCTTCCATCAAATCGAGATGGACCCCGAATCCATTCCCAAAACAGCTTTTAACGTGGAAAATGGCCATTACGAATATGTACGAATGCCATTTAGTCTAAAGAACGCACCCGCAACGTTTCAACGCGTTATGGATCACGTTCTAAGAGACTTACAGGGTAAAATCTGTTTAGTGTATATGGATGATATCATTATTTTCTCGTCTAATTTAGAAGAACATATCGAACCTTAAATTAATTTTTAAAAAATTAAGAGAGTCAAAATTAAAAGTTCAACTCGACAAATCTGAGTTTCTAAGAAAAGAAGTCGAATTTTTAGGTCATGTCATTACCCCAGACGGAATAAAACCCAATAAAAAAATTTTTCCAATACCCAAAACACCAAAAGACATAAAGTCATTTTTAGGTCTTTTAGGATATTATCGTAAATTCATTAAAAATGTTGCTAAATTAACAAAACCTTTCACCAAATGCCTAAAGAAAGGTGAAAAAATCGAACATACCCCGGAATTTCTACGAACATTTGAAATCTGTAAAAACATTTTAAGCAACGACCCTATACTTCAATACCCTGACTTTAATCAAAATTTTAACTTAACAACTGACGCATCTAATTTTGCTATCGGTGCAGTACTCAGCCAAGGTAAGATAGGTCAGGATCTGCCTATCGCATATGCATCACGTACTTTAAATCCCGCTGAAATAAACTATAGGACGATCGAAAAGGAATTATTAGCAATTATATGGGCTACTAAACATTTTCGTCCGTATCTTTTTGGTAGAAAATTTATCATAGTAACCGATCATAAACCCCTACAATGGTTAATGAATCTTAAAGAACCTAATTCTCGTTTAGTCCGCTGGCGACTCAAACTCGAAGAGTTTGATTACCAAAAAGTATACAAAAAGGGCTGTCAAAATACCAACACCGACGCACTTTCTCGAATAGAAATTAACGCAATAGAAAACGAGTCTGTTATAGGAAATCCTGGTGACATTACAAACGAAATTAACGATTTTCTTTTACCGACAAATGACGAAATTGTAACACTGAAGATCTTGACGACTTAAACGAAATTTTTAACCCTAATGACGAAAAATCAAAAATTAATATTCATTCCAATATTCAAGTTAAACCCCCTGACAGTGAAACTGTACATTCAGCAGTTGAAGACCCCATATTAAATATACCAATTACCGAAAATTGCCTTAATCATTATTCTAATCAAATTGTTATTAATCAAAATGTATTTAATAAATATCATGTTATTAAAAATAACATATTTGAGACAAAATCTAGAATTACTGTTAAACTTTCACAAAACTATGAATCAGAAATTATACAACTTTTTAAGGACTATATTGACCTCAGTAAACTCAACTGCATTTTTATTCAAAAATCAGAAACCGAGTTTATACCCGAAATAAGTAGAATCCTTCAGAAAACATTTAAAAACCACTCTTATAATTTAATTATTTCCACACAATTTTTAAAAGACATTTTGGACAAAAATCAACAAAAAGAAATAATATCTCACCACCACGAAATTACATGTCATAGAGGCATTAATAAAGCAGTTTTATCCTTAAAAAAAATTTATTATTGGCCCAACTTAAAAAAAGATGTCACAGAATTTATTAACAATTGCGACATTTGTTCACAAGCGAAATATGATAGACACCCATCTAAATTAAAATTCTCCTTAACTGCAACACCGAGTCAACCGTTGGAATCCATACACATGGATACATTTCAAATAGCGAGCGTTAAATTTTTAAAAATCATAGATGTATTTTCAAGATATGCACAAGCGTACCCCTTAGAACCAATTTGTAATTCCCAAACAGTTTATGAAAATTTTCTAACGTTTATTTCCCATTTTGGTATACCCCAATGTATAACTTGCGATAATGGCACGGAATTAAAAAACTCTCTTTTAATAGATTTTTGTAAATTACATAAAATTCAAATTCATTTTACAACCCCTGGTAATTCAAATAGTATAGCTCTGTTGAACACGTACACTCGGCATTTATCGAAATTTTTAGAACTCTTAGAATTAAAGACACAAAAGCATCTACTAAGCAACTTATGCAATATGCCGTTTTAGGTTACAACTAGTATTGTAAAATTTCCGGAAATAAATTTTTTGGAAATATTTCCGGAAACATTGGAAATTAATGGAAATTTTGGAAACGAATTAAAAACTAAAGAATTAAAAAAAAAAACTTAACATTTAATGAAAAAATATTATCCAAAAAATCAAAATAAATGAACACAAGTTAAAGGTAAAATGACAAAAACACAAAGAATTAAAACAAATTAGATAAAATACTCATACACTAGAACCATATCCAGCGAAGGGCTTCGCTGTCATCATCAATGATGACTGATTCATCATTATGATTACCTTCAATATTATATTCAGCATCAATGCTTTCTTCATGCCAGTCAACTTCCTCTAAATCTTTAAAATTGTCGAAAATATGAATGGATCTATTGCAACTTTCTATTTTTTTTATCAAGTTTTCATTGTGGGACACATAGAGTAGTTTAGCTGCTCTGTCGTTAGTAAGCTTGTTCCTTTTTTTTTTTAATGAATGTGACTATAAAACTGCGCTCAGTGGCTGCTGAAGATGCTGGCATCATTAAAATCCGTGTCGCTACTTTTGATAATAAAGATGATGAACAAAGGCCTTTCCACCAGGAGACTGGATTGTCAAAACTACTTTTCCATATAAAATGATTGCCAAACAATTTGCCGCTTCTACGGCGGTAATCTGCTATTTCGTCGATTATTTCTTGCTCTTTTATATTCATTTTACTTTTTGCTATGTTAAGTATGCATTCTATGGCTGAAAGAATTTGTGTTTCATCAAGTTCACTCCCTTGTGATTTTGGATTTAGCAATTCTGCAGCATAATGTATGGGTTTCATAACAAAATGTTCTCTTTTGTCAACAAACTCCAACAATTTCTTTTTTTCTTCGTCGTTAAGTGGGGACAAGGAAATATTTTCCTGAATCACTTTTTTAATATCATGAAATGCATTTACAGCAAACTGAATAGTGCAGTAGTCTCCTTCTACAATTTTTAACCATTTACCTATTGGTTGAAAAAAGTTTATTAGGTTAGAAATTTGAGACCAAAATACTTCTTCATCTAAGATCCATTGTTTTACATGTTTATCAATTATTTGTGTTGCTTCTTGGCTAACTCCTTGTAAACTGAGCTTGGTATTGTACACACTCTTTAAACAGACCAAAATTGAAGACCAACGAGTTTTTACAGGCAACTGAATGGCGCCTGCTTTTTGCTCTACATTTTTGTTTTCTGTTTGTTTTATTCGTAATAGTTCATATAGAACTTGTTTTCTCTTAATCTCTTTTACAATGTCTATAACTTTGTCGATTACAGCCGATATACTCTTAATTTTGAGCAAATCATTGCACAACAAATTGAGACCGTGTGAAAGGCAACCATATTGAATTATATCATATTTTTCGTTTAGTATTTTTCCAGCAAGTTGCATATTTTTTGCGTTATCTGAAACAAACCCCAAGAATTGGTTTGGTCCGTATTTTTCAATAATCTTTCCCATTTCTTCAGCTATATACTGTGCTGTGTGTCTATTCAATTTAGTTTCAATGGAAGTTTCCAGTAGCGGTGATGGTGTAGTGATAACAATTAATAACTCCTTGGTTTCGTATGTTGCTCCACCCGTCGCTCTGTAGACCTAGAATTTCACTTTCATTGATTGTAGATTCAACCTTTTCTTTACTTGTTCAAATTCTGCATCCAACTTTGTATTTGACAATTTGTATCTACTTGGTAGTACGAAACTTGGACGAATCATTTTGAAAAATTTAACCCATTCGGAGTTATCGAACATGGACAATGGACAGTAACTGGCATATATTGCACGAGCTAGCTGGTTTTCGAATCTTTCCTGTAAAAAAAATAAGTATCCGGTATACAGGGAGTCCCGCGGTCACCGGATAATATTTAAACTGCGAATTCCTCAGGTAATTTTATAAAGAAAAATTCATACAAACGTATGTCCTAAATTCCTTTCTTTTCGAGATACAGCGTGACAAAATATTAAAAAAAAAATAGTTTTTATTATAGTACACCAATTTTTATTCAGTATTTTTTTGAGAATTAAAAATTAAAAATAAAACTTTTTTGTTCTATAATTTTTTCTTGAATTATGCTTAGTTTTCAAGAAAGAAAAATATTCCTTGCTCGCTAAAAAACGAAAATTTTAACAAGTTATTTTAAATTAAGCAAGAACCGAAATTAATTGCTTAATCTAAAGAAGCTATTAAACCTTTTGAAAAATAGCATCGTTCCATGATTTTTACCATAAATATCAATTAGGTTTAATAATTTAGGCAACCGTTTGTGAGGCAATGGCGCGCCATAGCGTCACAAAGGGTTACCCCGCCATGGCGCGCCACAGAATAAATAATTTAAATCTAATTGAATCAAAATATGACCCTTGCTACAGCTAATAAACGTACCAACTTTTATTAAAATCGGCGAAGACTTGAAAAATAAGTAAAAAACGGATTGTTTTTAAATTTTGACACGCTGTATCTCGAAAAACCAAGTTAGGAGATATTATCTTATTAAGTAGGGCCCGGATTTTAGGTAAAACACCTTTTCATGGGTTTTTAGGTTTTAAAAATATTTTTTGGAATTTGTTCCTTTTATAAAAAATGGAGTCATCTGACTAAGTTTTATTTGACCTAAAATATCTTTTTTTCATTTTTTCACCTATTTTACTTTTTTGCACCTATTAGGTTTTTGTTTGTTATTATGAGTTCCTATTATGATTTTTTTGTTATTTTACACTATTTGTAATTAAAGTAGCAAATTTTATTCTTTTATTCAGGTTACCTAAATTAGGTACCTACCTAAAATAATAACTTAATTTTATAACTATGTGACCTAATTTTGTTACCTTTTTTGACTTTTTTATAAGATAAAAATACGGGCCAAAAATATTTTTTTTTAATGAAGTACCTAAAATATAGGCACCTAAAATAGTAACCTAATTTTAAAACTATATCACCTAATTTAGGTACCTTTTTTATAACCTAAAAATCCGGGCCTTAGAGATAAGTTTATATGAACCTTTCTTTATAAAATAATCTGAGGAATTCAAAGTTAAAATATTTTTCGGTGAGCGTGGAAATACCCTATATATTAAGTCAAGTAACCGGTATATTTTTTAATTTAATTTAGGTTCCAAGATAGTATATTTGTTTTGGTAAGATTTACGACGAGTTAAAAAAGTAAAATAAGGAATAAAAAATTGTTTCTTGAGAACATTTTTAAATACAAATCCTATTTTTTTTTGTTTGCTTACTCTAATAAACGAGGGACGCCGTTTCTGCGATATTTTTATTTGCCATGTACGTTACTTACTTGGTCTTGTTTGGAAATTCTGTCAGCAAATTCATAGATACTTTTAGAACTAGCAGGTTTCACTAAAACATTATAAGTAGATGTCTTAGTAGGCGGCTTTTTGATACTGGAACTGCTAATGGTTGAAAAACTTGAGGTTGACGCTTCTGGTGGTATTTCTCTTACCAAGTGTTCCGATTCTGAGGCAACAGAGATGATATTATCACTCGGATTTCTATTTCTTATTACCTGGCTCCTAATTAGAGAAAAAAAATCAGGATACTGATAAAAACATCTGGGGGATACGTGTTTAAACCCTTTTTGGAATAATTTATTCTTAATACAATGAAGTCCTCTCAAGGAAAATACCCAATTTTTAATGGAATGGGGTATAAATTTTAAATTAAAGTATATTGAATTTAAAATTGGTATGCATTCCTTCCAAAAAGATAAATGATCGGTTTTTAAGGTCGTCACACATCGCAATTTTTTTCCAACTGGAGGATAAAGAGACGAGCCATTGACACTATCAAAAAGTTTATCAAGAAAGATAAAAAGTTCTGCAGTATCTTTTGCAGCAGGTTCCATATAAAATTCAGATGTTGGTGGAAGTTGTTCACTGGCTTTAGCCATTGTAAACATGGTACTTCCAACAGTATGGCTAAATACCTGTGTACAATGTCGCACCTTCATTTTTCGAATTTTATTTGGGATGACATGTTCGTCAGTCAATTTTACAAATTTTCTGTATGGACCCTGCTGTTGATCAATTTCATACAATCGCAACATATGTGACCAAGATGCTACTTTAGTTACGCCTGACCGAATAAAATATAAATCTTTTGTCAGAAGGTTGTTACGAATACCTTTTAGAAGATGAGGAAAATCATACAAATGCACAATTTCCTCACCATCTACAAGGTATCCCTAACATGTATTGTTGGATTTATTTTTAATAAAAAAAGAATTTGTTTCTTCTAAAAGGCAATTAATAGCTGCTTTATTAGTAGCACCTTTGTCACATATAGTTGCAATTATTGTTAGTCCAGCATTTCTTACTTGCCGGATAACATCCTTAAGTATTTTTACTAAAACGGATGTGGGAGTTGTCCCCTCACAGAATGTATAACAAACAGGTTGTTTCCATTTTCTGTGAATCCCTTTTAGTTAAAATACTAAAGCATGATCAGCAAAGCGAGCCTGCCTTTCTCCATTTCCATGATCTATAAAACCATCTATGGAATCCGTTGGTTGTACTGCAGGCCAGTGTCTAAAGATATTTCATCAAACATCAAGATGCAATTTTTGTCCAGTTCTTTAATTTTTTGGCAGGCTAAATATGTTTCATAAATATCTATAAGCTCTGCCACTTTGTTTATATAATGACAGAGCAAAAATCTTGTCGTCTAAACTAAATCTTCGTCCCCGTTGTTTATATTTCTGAGTTTTTTGTTGGGACACAAAAAACCTTTTGGTGATGTCATTAACATCTGTTAAGTTATTCAAAAAGTTTGAACTATTTAAAAATTTTAATTTTTTTCTGGTGGATGCCTTGGAAAAACGTAGCTTTGCAGTGATTTTTTGAAGCTCCCTTGCTTTTCTGTAAAAAGCTCTTGCTTTTGGTGTAAGTTCAGCTTCTCTTGTTACCCCACCTATTCTTAAAAGGTGTTTTTTTCTTTTAATTGGAGCAATAATCTTCTTTTCTAAAAAAATGAATCTGTATAAGTAAAACAAAGCAGTGAAAATGTGTGTAATATATATTAGTTTACTATTAGTAATAATCATAAAAGTTACAACTTTTTAATGCCATATAAATATATCTAAAAATTTAATACAATAAGCATGTTTTTATACAATTTTCAATATAAGTTAACATAAAAATTGTAGATATATAATTATTATTTATAGTTTATTTTTTTTTTGGACTTGTAAACTCAAATTAAATTTTCCTCAATATTACAACTAATTAAAAAAATAAAAAATTCAGTGAAAAATTAGTAAAAAAATGTATTTTATTTTTTTAAATTTCTTGTTTTGTGTGAGCATATTTTAAACATAAATTCCTTAAGAAAAACACGCAGAATCGTTTAAAAGACACAAGAGGTATAAATTAAGAATAATTTAGTCAGGTAATAAAATAAAATCAGGTAAAATAATATAAACAGGTACTCAAAATAATAAAAATGATAAATCCATAACAGTATTTTAAATTTTTATCCCTTTACTGTGGGGCACCCTATAGGTATAGTTATATTTTTTATATACTAACTTAAAAAATTAATTGATTACCATACCTTTTGTAATAGGTGGTGAAGGAGTTTTATAAAAACCTGTCTCTACTAATTCTGATAAATTCTGTTGAAAATCTAAAAATTAATTCACATTTACATTTATTGGTTTAAAAAACTTTACCTCTTGTAGTAGGTGGTGATGGAGTATTAGGTAAAATCTGTACTCCTAATTCTAATAAATTCTGTTGAAAATCTAAAAAAAAAAATAAAATAATATATTATATAAATTTAATATTTATTTATTTTTTACCATATCTCTGGTCAACTTCAGGGTTTTCTGTTAAAAAAAAGAACTGAAATCTTCCTTAGATGTTGAGGGACCTAACAGAAGTAAATCTTCAAAGGGATCCCTGGATGTTGAGGGGCCGTCACCAATAGTTTGATTGGTTCTTGAATATGTTATTTTAGGTTCCTTTAGTCTTGAAGGAGGACTACAATCTTCCTTAGACGTTGAGAAACCTAACAGGGGTAAATCCGCCTTGGATGTTGAGGGGTCACCTAAGCGGGGTAACTTCTTAAAAAATTCTAAAAAATGGGTAAAATTAATAAATGCTTGTAATAAAATTTACTTAGCATACTTTTTACTTTTTCTGGTGTAACATACACATAGTCATGTTTTGGATAATAACAACAATCTTCTTTAGTTGATGGTTGGAATCTAAAAAAATTATTTTTATCTTGAATAGGTAGATTGAAAATTTTATTTTTCAATTTAAAAAATTGAAGTAATAAAAAATATATTACTTATGCCTTATAATTAAAATGCATATTTTATTTATCTATAGGTATAATAATAATAATAATATAATAATAATAATAATTTATTTAATGCCAAAAATACAGGTCAAACAAAACAATATATAAATATAAAAGTACAAAGATACGTAGGTATACAAAATTTAAAATAGATATAAATTACAATTGGGTTAAACAAGAATACTAATAAAATATTTAAAAACACATTTAGTTAAAAAAAATCACCACAGTTATTTACAACATATTCATCAGTACTATAAAAAGCTTTGTTAATGAGGTAGTTTTTTATGCAAGATTTAAATAAATCTACATTCATTGCCCTAACACTTAAAGGTAAGGAATTATAGAATTTAATACCATAATAATTGGTTCCATTTCGGGTTCTTTCGAATCTGCTAAGATTTACACTTAAATCATGTTTACAGCGAGTATCATGGTTATGTACATTTTCGCGAAAATTATATTTATGTATGTGTTTTTTAGTGTAGATCAAACATTCATATATAAAAATGCTGGGGAAAGTAAGTATTCCTAGGCTTTTAAAATAGGATTTACAATCAGCCCTATAATTTAAACCTGCCACTATTCTCAAGGCACGCCTTTGTAGACCAAATACGCGATTTTTAGTGCTTGAGTGTCCCCAAGCTAAAATTCCATATCGAATTACAGATTCAATTAGTGCAAAATAAGCAACTCGTAGATATTCAAGTGATAGATAATTGGAGAGATTACGTAGAAGAAATATATTTGATGTTAGTTTGGTGGCAATAGAGTCTCCTTGATTAACCCAGAGCAATTTGGAATCAAGGTGTACCCCGAGAAATTTTGCAAAAGAGTAGTCGCAGCTTCTCAGAGAGAAAATAAGATTAACAGTTTTATTTGTGTTCAAACATAAACGATTTGAGGTGAACCATTCTAAAGCCTTTGATTGCGTGTCTCGATTCCTAGCAAGAGCTAACTCAAGTGATCTGTCTCTGGTTGAAAATGAGGTATCATCAGCGAATAATGTGATATTATCCGCTGAGATAAGATAATCAGGCATATCATTAACAAAAATGAGAAACAACAGAGGCCCCAATATAGATCCTTGAGGGACTCCATACTGGACCCCTGCTGGTGCAGATCTTATATCATTGTATATTACAGTTTGAGATCTTTCTGTTAAGTATGAATTTATAAGTTTTATCGCTGTTGGTTTAAAATTGTAAAAATATAGTTTTCTTAGAAGTAAGTCATGAGACACACAATCAAAAGCCTTGCTTAAATCCAAAAATGTCCCAACTAGGTATGTATTCTTTATTTTCAAAAGCTTTAACTACTTCATCAACAAAATCTATCAGGGCATCAGTTGTGCTTAATCCCTTCCGAAAACTGAACTGTTTATTTGTAAATAATTCATTTATGGTAAAGTATTTTAGAATTTGTGTAAATAAAAGTTTTTCATAAATTTTTGAAAATATTGGTAGTAGCGATATAGGACGATAATTATCAACACTTGATTTATCACCTTTCTTAAAGACAGGCACAATACAAGCACTTTTTAAAGAAGCAGGAAACACACTTTGTTTTATAGAATGATTGAAAAGTCTTGTCAGCGGGTAAACAATATATTCTCTTATAGGCTTAATAATATCTGTACTTAATTCGTAGATATCTTTACTCCTACCCGGTTTTAATGCTTTAATCGCATCACGAACTTCATTAAAACTGACTTCTTGGAAGTTAAAAAAAATATTTTGATTTTTAATATTATACATTATTTCTATTGGATTAACTGAAGGTAATGGTAAACTTTGTATTGTTTTTTGAGCTATATTGCTAAAAAATGTGTTAAATTGATCTGGACTTATATTTACATTATCATTATTTATACATTTTTTGTTTATGTTTACTAATTTCCATAAAGATTTAGATTTATTATTTGATTTTTTAATAAAGTTGTTACTACACCTGATTTTTTCTTGTTTAATTGCATTATTATATTTGATTTTATAGTTTTTAAGTAGAGTTCGTGTTTGATTAGTAGGGTTCATACTATAGGAATCCTGAATGAAGAAGAAAGAATTTCACGCATTTCCCGGAGTCTAGGTGTAAACCAGTTTAGTTTATTTATTTTTGATTGTTTATTACTTATTATTTTAGATGGGAAAGCACAGTTTAAATGGTTTAGAATATTAGAGAGAAATAAGTTAAAATTATAATCTACATTATAATCTATTGGATTAAGACAAGACCAATCTGTGGAACCAATTAAATGAAAAAATGTTTGCTTACCTTGATGTGTTATGGGCTTTACAGTTTTTAAAATGTATTTATCTTTTACATTGACATTTAGATTAAAGTTATAAAGTAAACCAAGATGGTCAGAGAGGCTTGTATTAATTACCTGTAAACAATTTTTATCAACTATGTTGCTAAATAGGTTATCCAATATGTTGGGTCCCCTGGTAGGGAAATGATTCATTGGATAAATATTAAAACTTCTAAATATATCACAAATATAAATGGTATTTGGGTCATGAGTTAAATTAAATTTAATATTAAAATCTCCCGCAATTATTATGTTCTTATTAATATAATCCAAATGATTTAACATAAATGTAATTTTATCTACAAAAGTATTAAAATTGCCTGATGGGCTTCTATATAAAATAATAACAATAAGATTAACTTTAGGATAATATGATGCTGCTATTTCAAAGTCTTTTTCACAAGATAAACCATTAATATAATTCAGGTCTTTTGAGATTAGATTAGAGTCAGAAAGTTGTAGCACCCCCCATGCGTAAAGTTATTTCGGGAAAAGGATGACGTTTTATTAAAAATTTTTATTTTAAAAAACTTTATTTCTTCCTGAGTTAGCCAGTGTTCAGCTAGTCCTATTATGTTTATGTTTTTGTCATTAATAAATGCTTCAAAAGTATTTATCTTATAACGTATACTTTGGATATTCATAAAAAATATACTTATATTTATTATGTTTACTTGTGTTTTTTCCGTTTTGTTTACTTTATTGTTTATGTTTTTGTATAATATAAAAAAATTACCTGGTAAATTTAAAGTTGGCAGAAAATTTTTACTTCAACATCCTGATTCTTCGAAACAAATATCTGCAAAATGTTTCTTACAAACCGGACGGTTTTGTAAAAAACTTTTTTCACTTGAAGTCTTTAACACCTCATTTTTAATTCGCTGGATCCAAATTTCCTGAACTCTTTGATTTGTAGGTATAGTAAACCTAACAAAAAATCAATGATGCAAAATAAGAGGAAAAGTAATTGTTGTTAAATGTAACATACCTTTTAGAACTTTAATCAGTGCATCCCGGTAAATAACACGGCCGTATAGTTTTCACCATATTGACTTATATAAAGTTCAAACAAAGCAAGTAACAGAAACACAAAGCACAATACTGGACAAGTTTCTAGGGCACAACACTAATCAGTGATTAGTAATCACACGTGATAACAAATAACAAATGAACAATATTATGCCAGAATTTTAGGTTATAAATCTTGTAGGTATAAATTTAAAGACAGACAATAAAAATTGTAGCGCCATCTATGGACCAAGGTTTTAAAAGAGGCACAAAATAATGACTTCAGCGCCATCGATAGTTTAATCATGTTAACACACTTGTCGCCAGAATGAAAACTCAAGTTACCACCCCCTGCATACATATACATCAGTTAAGATTTTAAAATATATAGTAATTTGGCATGTGGAATGTAAGGTGGCCTGGGGACGAGGGCGGCTAGGCGGGGCCAAGAGGGTGGGCTGGGCGCCTTCCTGGATTGGTGTTTTTCCTTACTCTTCTCATAAAGGATGAATGGATGGTGCTGCCCCACTTTAGCGTCGTGTTGACACATCCCACCTTAATTGGCAGTGGGATTTGTAGCTCCTCCCTTAATGGCTTGTTAGCCCTGGGCCATATTGCCCTGGCCCCGATGAATAATAACTGTCGATATAGCAGCAAATTATTAAAAATCCACTAAACTTTACTTACTTGGGTTTTTTAAAGGAATTCTACTTATCATTACCGGTGGTGCCGACACCAGCCTGCAAAAACAAATAAACATAAAATATTGAAGTTGAAATTTGTAGAAAAAAGTAAGAAACCTGGAAGGTGGAGGGAGTGTTTGTGCAGACTTCCGAATTAAATTTGCATTCAATCCTACATGAACTGTTTAGCCTCCTGCACCCACATCGCATAACAATCCCCGCACAACATTTAGACGCTTGAATTAAAACATACCTTAATTATATCCTCCAACAAATTGTGACTTTCTGTCTCATGTTTTGTTAGTTTTTCGCGCATATCCCCTTTTTCCTTCTCTAATATTTTGCAGCGCTTTTCAGACTCCGAATCTCCGTCATCTAAAATCAAATATCAAATGTTTTGTGAAACTAAATTTAGTTTCAAATCAAATCTTGACTTTTAACGCCTCTGAGTTGCCCAAGTAAAATTGCTACTTTCTCCTCGAAAGTTCGGACAGTTGTCTTCAAGGGACTTGTTTTCCCTAACCTAAAGAATAATCGCATTCTTATATATGTACTTTAAACATTAAACCAATTCACAAACCAAACTTTATTTTGGTTTACCCATACAGTCAGCGTATAATAATTATTGACGGGTGAAAATATTTTGTACTGAGGTACTTCTGGATCTATTTTGGTAATTTTTTACTTTCTTTGCTCAGAGTAGGTAAGTTGCGAGTTTGAAACCAATGTGACAACCAAATAAAAAAATATTAGATAAAAAGTTATTATAATAATTACAGGATACCTGGATAGATAGATATATATATATATATATATATATATATATACAAACCAACTTCGAAGGCCTTTCTTCCCTACGTCAAATGGACAACCGAAAGAATAGGCAAAGTTCTCAAAAAACATAACATTGAAACCACATTTACCGCCCCAAGAAAGATCGGTCAAATACTTCCAAACTCCAAACCAAAAATAGAGTTACAGGCACAAGGGGTTTACGAAATTCCTTGTAAGAATTGTGACAGAAGCTACGTGGTGCAGACCAATAGACGTATCAACGGAGCAGATCCCGATAAACCACTAATATATATATATATATATATATATGTATATATATATATGTATATATATATGGGGCGGTAAATGTGGTCTCAATGTTATGTTTTTTGAGAACTTTGCCTATTCTTTCAGTTGTCCCTTTGAGGTAGGGAAGAAAGGCCTTCGAAGTTGGTTTGTATATATATATATATATATATATCCAGGTAATAATATGTGTTTAAATGTTAACAAATCCAAATACATTATTTTGGGAACTAGTCATAAATTAAGTAATTTAAGCTTAAATAACAAAAAACTTTTAATTAATGGTTCTGAACTACAAAGAGTAGATTGCTTTAAATATTTAGGTGTAATGATAGATAAAAACTTAAATTTTAAACCGCATATAGATTATGTCATGAATAAAATATCTAAAAAAATTTACTTTTTGTGTAGGATAGGTAATAGTTTGTCAAGATATGTGAAATTGTTGCTATACAAATCTATAATAGCTCCCCATTTTAATTTTTGTTCGTGTATTCTGTTTGAAATAAATCAGAATCAAAATAATGGACTACAAAAGTTGCAAAATAAGGCGATGAGGATAATCCTAAAATGTAATCGTCATACGCATATCAAAACTATGTTAGATACTTTAAGTTTAATGAGCGTGAAACAATCTATTGTATTTAATTCTATGTTATTTATTTTTAAATTAAAAATTGGAGCTTTACCAGAGTTTTTAAGTAACAGATTGATTAGGGTAGATGGTATTCATGATCATGGAACGAGAAGTGCAAGTGATTTTTATATTGAAAATTTTAGTCAAATGCAGACTACTAAAAATGTATTTTTTAATGGTCTGAAAATGTTTAACAAGTTGCCAAGTGATATTAAAAAATGTGATAATTTAAATAGATTTAAGTCAATATTAAGAATTTACATACACAGTTATATACAGTGTGTCCCGCTTAAGACCTTACCACCCTCGTAAAATTTGCATTTTTCAACCGATCTTCGTAAACTTTTTTTTGTTGGATAGATCTCTGAAAAAGGCTTTAATCACATATGTTACTTGTTTTGACGACTAAACTCATGGCCAACTGTGATCTCTTGTTGGGGTCGAAATTTCGAAAAGTACTATTAGGGATTTTTTCAGAGAAAAAGTGACTACGGATTATTGTTCGGGACCACTTATAACCCCACTTTACCAATTTTTATCGTTCTTAAATACACGGTGTTCCAGATGGATGTTTTTTAATTTTTTGATAAAAACCTCGTAAAATTTGCATTTTTCAACCGATTTTCTTAAATTTTTTTGTTGAAAAAGGATTATTCGGGACCACTTAAAACCCCACTACACCAATTTTTATCGCTTTTAGATACAGGGTGTTCCAGCTGGACATGTTTTAATTTTTTGATAAAACCCTCGTAAAATTTTCATTTTTCAACGGATTTTCTTTAACTTTTTTTGTTGAAAAAGGATTATTCGGGACCACTTAAAACCCCACTATACAAATTTTTATCGCTATTAGATACAGGGTGTTTTTTTATAACAAAAACAATGACGCGAATTAAACACATTTAGTGGATATTTTAGTAATTCCGAATGCTCTCTAAGCAACAACTAAATTTACTATAGAGTAGTACAAAGAAACGTACACCAAAATTAATAAAAAAATTAATTTTAAATGGAAAATTAGCTGTAGGTAAACGAATTAAACACGTTTTTATTGTATTAGAGCAACTCAAAAACAAACAATTAAAAAATAAAACAACTAACGATAATTAAATAGTAGTCATTTCAATTAGTCCACCATTTTGCATTATGCATTTGTCTATGCGTCGTCTACAGTTGTTTACCACGCTTCTTAGCTGTTGCCTGGTTATACTGTGGCAAGCCCACCGAATGCGATCGCAAAGTTCTTCTCGTGTTTGGAGTCTTGATTTATAAACCTTATTTTTTAAAGTCCCCCATAAGAAGAAGTCAAGTGGGGTGAGGTCTGGAGACCTAGGCGGCCAATTAATTACAGGGCTATCCTCACTTCAACATAGTTATGGATGTTTGCCCCGTCCAGCTGCAGATGTAAATTGAGGCAAACATTAAGGGGCAGTTCATCGATTTCATTATTTATTTCATTCTGCAGAAATCTAAGAAAATTAGCTCTGTTCAAATTTCCATCAAAAAAGAAAGGTCCAATTAATCTTTCGTTCAATATTCCACACCAAGAGGAGTATTGCCTTCTATCACCCACTTTGGATTTTCTTCACTTCACATTCTGGTATTTTGTGATGATACAATACCGTTTGTTGTAAATGTAGCTTCATCGGTGTATAAAATATTTTACAGGAATGTAGGATTTTCTAAATACATACCTTGCAACCATAAACAGAATTCCATTCTTCTTTCAGGGTCGCCAGCTTCGAGTGTATGGAGAAATTTTGGCTTAAAGGGTTTCTTACCATTTTTTTTTCAAGCATTTCCAGATAGTGTTTTTTCCTATATTTAAAACTCTACTTGCCCCTCTAATGCTTGAGCGAGGATTCTCATTAAAATAATCAAGAATTATTTGATTTGCTGGAACCTCACGGTTACGATGCTGATTGGAGAGTTTGTTTACATTTCCGTGTTCGTTAAAAAATAAATTAATTCTCCTAAAACTACGCATTCGGTCGCCTATAGGCCTACTAATCGTACAATTTCCACTTTTTCTTGTAAAGAATAAGCCATATTACTTATGTTAAGCACTGCAATGCAAGTAAATAAGACAGTGACAGTAGTTGTTGATTACTTGTCAATTTTTTGTTTCCATAGTATACTTTGCTTAATTAATAGAATTTATTGTGCATAAGTAGATGGTTAAATGATAATTTTGCCATTCGGATTTTAATTAATAGTACATTACAATACGAGACGGAAAGTGTTTCATTACGTATCTCTACGTCGCCAAAACATATGCATTTAAAGCCTTTTTCAGGGAACTATCCAACAAAAAAAGTTAAAGAAAATCGGTTGAAAAATGCAAATTTTACGAGGGTTTTATCAAAAAATTAAAACATGTCCAGCTGGAACACCCTGTATCTAATAGCGATAAAAATTGGTATAGTGGGGTTTTATGTGGTCCCGAATAAGCCTTTTTCAACAAAAAAGTTTAAGAAAATCAGTTGAAAAATGCAAATTTTACGAGGGTTTTATCAAAAAATTAAAACATGCCCAGCTGGAACACCCTGTATATAATAGCGATAAAAATTGGTTTAGTGGGGTTTTAAGTGGTCCCGAATAATCCTTTTTCAACAAAAAAAAGTTAAAGAAAATCCGTTGAAAAATGCAAATTTTACGAGGGTTTTATAAAAAATTAAAACATGTCCAGCTGGAACACCCTGTATCTAGAAGCGATAAAAATTGGTGTAGTGGGGTTTTAAGTGGTCCCGAATAAGCCTTTTTCAACAAAAAAAGTTTAAGAAAATCAGTTGAAAAATTCAAATTTTACGAGAAATTAAATAACGTCCATCTGGAACACCCTGTATTTAAGAACGGTAAAAATTGATATAGTGGGGTTATAAGTGGCCCCGAACCGTGGTCACTTTTTCTCTGAAAAAATCCCTAATAGTACTTTTCGAAATTTCGACCCCAAAAAGAGATCATAGTTGGCCATGAGTTTAGTCGTCAAAACAAGTGACATATGTGATTAAAGCCTTTTTCAGAGATCTATCCAACAAAAAAAAGTTTACGAAAATCGGTTGAAAAATGCAAATTTTACGAGGGTGGTAAGGTCTTAAGCGGGACACACTGTATATTGATTACATGTTTTTATATTGTTGTATAATAGCTTTTGCTAAATAAAGATTATTATTATTATATATATATATTTATATCTTTAGAGTAGGTACGGCCTCACCTTAGACCACCGCCTATCGGTCCGACCCTGGAAAATTTGAGGCCTAAAAACGCTTCGATTTTTAGGGGGTCCCTTCGAATTTTAGGGTGCCCCGGGGGCCCTCTGTCCTTCAGACGGACCACACGGACTGCGCTGGAAATCATGGGGGCCCCATGGCCCCCATGATTTTAGGAGAGGCCTATCTAAAATCCAAATATCGGTCGTCTGAATAGTAGATGCCCAGTGACCACACAATAGATGTTTTTAAATAATTATTTAAACCACGAGCTGACCCTGATACTTTGCGTAACATTGCAAAAAATAATTTTATCGAGGCCCATCACAATTATACACAATTTTATTCAAAATTAAGGTCCATGCGTTTTATAGGAAAATATTCGCCATTGAGGATAACACGTATATCAGATATATCAATGTTGTCAAAATATGAGGGATCTCAAA